AAGGCAGAGCAATATTGTAATATTGTGATGCTGAAGTCTGCCGCATAGATGAATGCTGAAGGGTCCCAGAATAGATGCCTCACAACAGTTCTAAAGAAGTTAACTACCTGGCAGAAAGCCAACAGGGTAGTAAGCAAAGGCTGAGAAAACCAGAAATCTCAAGGTCAGGCAAGGTCACTGTGCGTTGTGAGTAAATTCAACTAAAGTTTATAATGAATTTCCAGTGGCCTTTCAGGTTAATTACTGCATTCATAACTCATGTGAAAAGACCAGTATTTTAACCACAAAACACGAGGCAAAATTATGCTATACTGCTTCTGTATGCTAACGGCAGCCAGACAAGAACTAGGAACTTCTGTTTTACTTTACCTTTAAAAAGACATTTTGGCTACCCAAGACAGCATCCTCTATGTCCTATGGATTTCACATAGGTGAGGAAGAGAGATAGGTAAAGAAAATATTTTTGGAAAGAAAAAATATAATTTATGGGTATGTATCAATGGTATGAAATGATGTAATCGAAACAAACAGGCTTTCACAAATTTAGAACAGAAGCTGGAGAGTAATTTCAAAAGGGAATTTTGAAATATCTCAGGAAACTGAGGATCTCTTTTCTAAGTGAAGCTAGAAACACTATCTGATTAATGAGCCTGAATTCAAGAGAAAAGATACGGAGCTGCAAAGCACATCAGGTAACTGCTGAGAGGTAACTGCCATCTGAAACTTGACAACATAAATACTTTCTCCTGAGCCTTTCTTAATCCTATATGCAGGCGATTCAAGGATATAGATTTGAGCATGTTGATAAGGTTTGCACAAGCTTATAAACACTTTCTAAGCAAAGAAGGCAGGGGAGGATAACTTTTTTCCCTAGCTTTGGTAGAACTGCCATTCAGGTTAGTAATAAGATTTTAAAAGGCTCAACCTCTTCAAAAGGATGTGGTCAAGAACAGACTGAAGAAGACAGCACTGACTGCACCAGTGCTTTGACTCTGAGGTGTATCATAGTTACTTGTTGAGCCAAAACTGCAACTGAAATCGTTAGTCTTGCAACTATATTTCTATATGACAGATTAAGAATTCAGAAAGGAAGTACAGATTTAAAGACAACTGCACAGTTTTGGTAATGCTATTAGAAAGTGTGAAAAACATGAGGATATGGAGAATGGAAAGGGAAATGTGACAGAGAAGAAGAGATGAGATGGAGCATACAAAGGAAAATTAGACTGACAGATGATGGGAAGTGTTGAGAAGCCAGGCACACAGCTAAAGAAGGGGCTTTAAGGTTTCAAAAAGAGAAATCCAGTACTCCAGAGCTGATGACTGGTATCAGAGGCTGGATGCTGCTACTTACAATTATAAATGAGGAATATGAATTTTGCATAAAGAATGCTCGTTTCTTCCTGTGTTACAAATGTTCATAGATAGAACTGTAAAACCCACAGAGGTACAGTGTGAGTCTGACTGTGGTCCATGATGTTTTGGATTGCCAGGGGATGGAAGAAGAATAGAAAGGGATTTTTGACCCTTTCCCACCCTTCCAAAGCATTTCCATTAACGTTGCTCTTATGGAGCAGAGACAGTGTACTCTAGTTACATTCCCAAGCTTTCTACATCCTAATGTGGATTCTACTTTACACTGAGAAAACAGTGAGCTTTAGAAAAAAAAGTTATTCCTTCTTGCCAAAACAAAGCTTTAGAATCATTTCATTTTTACAATTTCTAAAATTGGTGCATGCATATATGGTAGAATTTTCAGGATAATATTATATCTTTGAAAAAGAGTTATTTCATTTACTTTTGTTCCTATTTTCAGTGGCATATGCTTGGATTACAAAACAACCGTCCCTGCTTGAGCAGAGGGTTGGACTATATGAACTCCAGAGGTTCCTTCCAACCTCAACCACTTTGTGAATCTGTGAAAAGCTATTGGACTACTCTACCCAAAAGCATCACCCAATTAAATAGAAAGATATTTAAGACCAGTCTTAGCAGCTAGTACATACAAGTCCTGTAAAATGAAATTTTGCTGAGCTCTGAAATGAATAAATTACTTAAACCTTTACATAGATAACCTACATACATGAATAGCAAAAAACTCGACCCTTAGTAGTATTTATAACTTTGAAAATGGCAGATCACAGCAAAGTAAATCTGTTTTTCTTTGAATCACTGGATGAAGAGAAGAAACAGCTTCCCAAACTTCACAGAATTGGAGACATCACTGTTGTCCATTGTCTTAGCCCTGATTTGCCTACTGCAGTCTCTCCTGTACTACAGTACTAAATGACTAAAAATCATTGAAGTAGTTGCAATTTCAATACCAGTATTCAAAGATCGTAAAATAGCTGGAGGAAAATTGGAAGGCTATCAAGAATTCAAAAGAAAGAGTATTTATTGTTTAATGCTAGGGAACGAACATTTAATTTGGTTAAAATAAATGGGATTATTAAGGTATATCAGCTTCAAACATCTAAAGCAAAAATTATCAACAAAGGACTATTTCACTAGGATTATAAATTTCTTTTAATACTTGTTAATACTTGTTCTTCAAGAAATAAAAGACCAGAAGCAAAAATCATTGCCACAGATTAAGAACTGCAGGTATTGAATTGACACTATAGTAGTAGCAGTTTGTGATTGGTATTTTTCACTTGGGATTATTAACAGAATAGTTTTCAGCTGATAATGTTTGTTGTGAGTCTAGCACAATAAGACCCAATTCTACTTAGGTCTTTAGATTCTGCCAAATTGCCTTGTTATTACTTCCAAATCCATGTCTGGAAACAAGAATACAAGATATGGACTGAAAAATAAAAAACTATTTTCTTGCTACTTACTAATAACTATTTTGTGGAGAATGAGATTTAATAATACCAACTCATAAACTATGTCTGATACTGGGGATGTTATTAAAAATTTGAATCAATTACAATAAAAGAAGCTTATAAACAAAGCTGAGTCATGAGATTCTAGTCTTATGAACTATCAGTTTAATAAATAATTAGAAGAAAGTTATATGAGTTTTAAACACCTTGTTCAAAAGCTACATTAATCATCAGCACGACACATTTGATGTTAGTATAACACGCTCATGTAGATATGCAAAGGATTTATTTCCTGGAGTATCTAAAGAAAGTCATTACTCAGTAAAATACCTGTCACTTGAAGAGTAGATTCAGAAAAGTGCTGAATTAGAAGTGTAAGTTTGAAATGCATTTTTAGAATGAACACATTTTTAGTTAGACAAAATTAAGTCATCACAAGAGAATCTCCTTTTCAAAAAATAATGCCAGTATGTCATGTAAAGTTATAAAAACTTGGACTACCAAAATTCTCAGTGCAAGGGTTACTTAAAACATTCTTTATTAAACTGTGATTATTTCAAGTCTTAAAAAACAAAACAAAACAAAAAGCAAAAACAAAAACAACAAAAATGCACAAAGCTGAATGTTGGCATGGCACCATTTGTGATGAAATTACCAGCTGTTATCATCCAAAACTCTACATCATATAAAGAATATTGCATTTAAAGTTCCTTTTCCCTCTTTCCTAAACTACAATGATCTTCTTAAAAATATTGCAATTCACTGTATCCCTTAACAAATAGAGGGCTGAGGAGAAGCAACAAAAAATTGTCAGTGCTTGTTTTTCTATTAACAAAACAGAGATGCATGTTGCCAAATACAACTTATGGTAGGTTTATTTTTTAGTACGCTTTTAAATCGATATACTTCCTATAAATCAATAGACTATAAGTTAATATACTTTTTCAAAATGATTAAAAAAAGAAAGATTCTAATAAAGCATCACTATTTGAATTTTGTTCACTGGCAATCCAGAAAGCCTGTTTGACAGCCATGCAGCAGAAATGCACAGCAAAACAAAACCAGTTGACAGCTGCTAAGGAAGGCAGAAAAGAGTAAATTATCAAGGACAGGTATAAGCAAAACACACACATGCTTTCATTCCAAGCCCGAGGTTAACAAAAGAATTTTCAAAACACATGGCAATCTGGACAGACCTGTGGAGGAACCTGCCTCCTTTTTTGGTCAGGGGATGTAACATACACAGCCTGGGCATAGGTGTAACTTTTGAACCGAGGTTTAGGAGAAGATGAAGGGCCTTGGGGTACACTGACCGTGACCTATGAAGAAGAAATTGGAGGTCGAAAGAACAGGCATTTATGGACTGAAATGCAGACTACAGAAGTAAAACATTGCTAGGGAAAAGAAAAAGGAAAAGGGGAA